TATTTTATATTATAGAATTATAAAATTTAAATGTACTTTTATATATTATATTTTTATAAATATGGTTTTTTATTCATATCAAATAAGAATCACGTTGATTCAAAGTAATTCTTATTTGATATTATAAAATTATAATGTTTAAATGAATTTTTATTTTATATTTTTTTTTTTTTATTTGCCTTAAGGGCATATTCACATTGATTTTTATTTTATGTTAAGGAATAAAATAATTCAAATAAATAGTTTTTTAATATATTTTATATTTATTTTTTTTATATATAGTTTTATTTATTTTATATGTCTTTTATCATTATCATTCACAAAAAAAGAAAACCCAATCGACCAACCAGATAAATAAAGAATTTCACAAAAGAAAATTTAGCCTATTTGCATTGTGTTGGTTGGTAAAAATGTAAATAAAACAATTCGACTGCCTATGCAAGGCATTTTTTTATTACTTTGAGTATAATTTCAACTACTCCGATGTTTGTTTCATTTTAATTAAATTTTGTTTTATTTTGTGATTATAGCAATTGTGATTCAAGCATTTATTTTTATTTACTTATTGACTTTTGTTAAGCCAACAATTCATTTAAATATGCACTTGTGTTTGTATATTGCTGCTGTCACTTGTATATTACACAAAAATTAAGCAAAAAAAAAAAAAAACAAACAATTACGCGTTTAAAGTAAACACACGCACCCATACACTCAATGAGAGGGCGCATTGAATTAATTGCAATTTGCATAGCCCGCAAAATTCAAACAGCCAACGATCTGCTGCTGTTGCTGCTACTGCCCGATTCGCGTGGCATGTTGAGTCGCGCGCGTGTATCTGAGAAAGCCGCGTGTTTATCTGTGCGTCTGTGCTGCGAGACTGCGAGACTGCGACTGCAGCTGTTGGCGTTGTCAGCAGAACTGAGAAACCGTCTAGCCGGACGAACGCACATGTGGACGAGGCTGACGGCACGGCCAGCGTCTGGTTATCACACAGCATGCGACAGGCTCTTGTGACAGCTTTCGCAACATCTGCATGGCAGCTTTTTGGTGTGTTGCTTATTGGATTGTGGCATGCAAGCTCTGCGTGCCCCGTCACGTGGCAAGCCGCGCGGAAGGCGACGAGCAAAACAAAACGGCTCAAAACTCAAACAAAGACGCAGTAGTCGAACTTTATTTTTGGCCCTTTTACGTATGTGGCACGTGGCAAGCCGTAGGCGGCATGTGACTCGCGGCACGCGGCTATGTACGTGCCACACGCCACACGTCACACGCAACATGTCACATGTTGGGCGGGATCTTGAGTTCAAATTGCGACGCATTGGCCTTGGGTTAAATGCGCTGTTGATCAAGCGCTCGCATTGCGCATACGCCGCGTTTGCCGCTGGCACAGATTGGCTGGCATTCGTTGCTTGGCAAACAGAGCCACGCCCCGTACCCTGTTGAGACGAAAAATTGTATGCAAAGTGGCAAAACCTTTCATGCCCAAAACCCTTTGAAGCCAACGTGCACAGCAGCAGCAATCATGAATGCAAATATACCAGCGTATAAATATGAATGCGCGGCCACAGGGCTAGCCAGGCCTAAGGGCTGTGTCTGTGTGTGTGTGTGTGCGTGTGTGCCACTCAACATTTTCAGTCATGCTTGATAAGCAGTTTTTCTAACAGCTTGTCGCTGCATTAACACTTTTCCAAGTCAATTGAAAACAATTTTAGCAAAAAGTACAAGTTAAAAGTTTTTCGCAACTTTGTCAGCGACAAAGTTTTAACGAAGTACAAAACTGACAATTGGCATCAGCAACAGGCAGCGATATAAATAATTTTGTTGTCCAGTTTGAACAAAATTCAAATGGCTTTGAGAAGGCCAAGGAGAGAGGGGAGGGGGCGTGTCTGTCGCGAAGTGACGCAGTTCAGCTAGTCTGCAGTGCAACACGGCGTATGCTTAATGCAACGCACTTAACAAAACTTATGATTTATGTGGTCCAAAGGATGCAAAGCCATTGACACTCGCACACATGTTTATCGTTGCTGTTGCTGTTGTTGTCAGTTGTATTTTATTTTATTGCGACAAAAGCCGTTAAAAGCTGTTTTGTGGATTGCATTTGTAAGCTTGCAAGCTTAAGCCAGCATTTGGTGTGATACTTTGAGTAGCCTGAGCTTGCAAGGACCAAAGCTTGCGGCTTGAAGAGCTTAAAGCTGTTCGGGTTGTGGGGCATAATAAGTTTCCTTCAAAGATGGCGATTGTTTGCTGTTAGAAAATCAAAGAGCAAACTTTTGCTGATCGCCAAACTGTGATATGAATAGCAGTCAATAAGTAATTAGATAAACTCAATTGTTAATTATAACAAGTCTAGTCGGGAGCTCCCGACTAGGGGATACCCTGAACCCTCTTCTTCCAACATCAAATGCATATATATATTCTATTTTAGAAGCTATATGTCAAGTTTTGTGACTCAAGCTCTTATTATTTACCAAAATTGCCCAAAAAACAGGATATCGATATCGAGTAGGCTATCGATTATCGGAAACAAACTCGATCTGCGCGGGAACTAGGAGCATCTACATCTAAAATTTCAAGTCTCTAGCTCTTATAGGCTCTGAGATCCTTGACACCCCTTCAGCTGTGAGACAGCTACGACAGAAACTAATCCAAAATCTTAACGAAAATTCACATGAGACGTGCTTCACACTTTTCAGTAATTCCACGTCATCTGGCTGAAAATATGAGTCCTGGGTAGTATAAGCGAAAGTTTCTTAGTGCCCGATTGTCTTTAAATAAACAAAATTGATTCACCAATTTCATAGTTAAGCCCTCCAAATAGAATCAGGTGGAATATTCTGATTTGAATTCGATCGACAGCCAACTCATTTTCAAATATCTTCTGCAAATGTCACTTGAGGCGTGAGGTAAAAGTTAGTGCACATACATACTTTCCCCTAGTCGAAAATGATTGAAAAAATACTGTCTACAGTTTGAAAACAAAACATATGCCACAGGCAAAGCCGGGCAATGTCCGCTGGCATATTATGCTATGACTTAAGCAGTCTATATTAAAACCCCTGATGTTGGCTTTGCATGGCTGCAGGGGCTGCACAACCGATGCTGATTGAGAATATTTTATATATATTTTTTGTTATATATGTGGACCAGGTATAAAAAGAAAACATGGCATTGCTTTACTGAGGTTTTTGTTGTTGTCTTTTATTTTTTTATTTTATTGTTGATGCTGCGGTCTGTCATCCGCTTGCATCTTTGCGGATGCACTTTGTTGCTGGTCTGGCGACTGCTTCATTTGGCTTCATTTCTGCAGCCGACGTCAAGCAGAATGATGTTAAAAATTTCAGTTATTACGATATATTTACATTTTCCTATTTTTTTTACTGTTTTTTTTTTTTTTTTACCAACCTGCACAATTCCCTAAAGGTGCAAGAGGGAAATGAATTCAAGCGTAAGCCAAGGCGTGGGCGTCATTGCGTTTGAGGGCCGTGTGGTTATGCTATGGCTGTTGCGTCTGTGTGTGGGCTGAGTGCGGTTCGTGGTTATCTGGGGCACGGGGGATTGTTGGCTGTTGCCGTTCTGCGTCTAACGAATTCATCAACAGCACAAAAGATGAAGAAAAATGGCAAACTAAGGCCAAGATGCCCAAGTTACAGCAATAGCAGACGCAACACCAACACCAGCACTCTCTCACACACACACACACACACACACACACACACACACAAATAAGCAGAGGGAAGTTACTCGTTGCGGGCGTCCACAAGCGAATGCGGATGCTGTGGGCGGGTAAGATGTGTTGACAGCCACACGGCGAAGCCATCTCCTCCGTTGGACTTATGGCAAATGCATTTGTTGTGTGCAACAAGCTGTCATTTGTGCTGTGGCTGTCACACACCCCCACCCCCCACTCCCACCTCCACCCCTGCCACCCGCCTGCCAACACCAACCGCAGATCCCCGTTGCTACGCAACATATCTGTCCTTAACTCTTTACCCTGCGCTGCGTCTACTTCAAGTTTCGTTCAACGGTCTCGAGTCGGATAATTTGATGAAATATCATTTGGTAATTGCTTGGCCACGAGTCCCATTGCAATTTACAATTTGTATCCAGCTGGGAAATTATAATGATTACAATGGATAATACCTACGTTTCGAGCAGCAAATTTAGAAAAACCTCATAAAGTAACCTACTAAAATGCAAACAACTCTATTATAAAATGCTGAAATATGTACAGAATGTGCTTTAAGCAGTGCTCCAAGTGCACATTTCAGATTAGGGAATAACCCTCATCTGCTGGGCTTAATTAATATGTGAGAACCTAAATGTGTTGAGGCTAAGGAGTTTTCGTAAGGCGTTAGTTTGAAATATCTTAAATGTCTTTGGTATTTTGTTGCTAGTTTTAAGAACACCTCTTATCCTTTAGGCTGCAGAAATACTTGTAAATTACGTGGCCAAGGGAATGCCACTTATGTGTTAAGCTCTGAGGGTAACTCCAGGAATATAAGAGCTATAGACAACAAATTTGGTCTGTGATTTCTTGTATAGTATACTATATATATAATTACGCGAGGCTTGATAGTTAAAATCGTTCGGATGACATTCCAAGAAGTTGTCATCAACAGTGTTTTTCTTCCATTTCCCGCCTTTATCTAATAGAAAAGACTAAATAAAATTGAAAAGATGAATAGTTTTCCGATCAATTTTTGCATGATGTAATAAGTTTAAGACCGTTTGGACGAAAATTAAGTTATCAGCCATATTTATAAATGTTTAACGCCATCTTTTCACATATGCGAAGCGTATGCTTTTGTAATTGAGAATATTTCTTACTTTCGTTATCATTTATATTAAAGACCAAAACTGAGCTGTGCACAGTTAATGAATTCGCTTTGTTTTTGGTGCCCTTTTACACGAGTATAGCTTTTATTACGGAAATGTGCATCTAGTAGTCTACCCAACAGGCTTCAATAACAGCACAACTGTGTGTGCTGTGCATAATAATTGTGTATTAGAGCTGAACGCATCTGAGGAGGCAGTCGAAAAAGTAAAATAAAAGAATTCCATGGAAATGCAATCGCTGACTGCGTTGCTAAGCATTTGCCTTTGCCTGACATTTAGCTCGGGACTGGGCGAGGACAATGCGCTGGTCCAGGGACCCAATTATGTGCCCAACTCCTGTATGGTGCCAGATATGGGACTAGGCACCTTTAGATATCCAGGCCCCCAGAAGCAGCTCGAACTCAAATTGGAATTCCAGCCCCAAAGCCCGCAACTGTTGCAAAGCAGCGTCGGCAATACTGAACGCTTGTTTGAATACGGGAGCAATCCGCTCATTTGCTCGGCAGCGACTTACAAGGATGTGAGCTACGAGAAGTCAATGCCGAGTGGCGCAACGGTCAACGAGGATGACTATGATGATAATGATGATGCGTCCGATGAAGACAATAATAACGATGATGTTGACGATGATGGTGGAAAGAACTTTACAGCGCGTGTTAAATGCCTTCTACGCACGCTTTACGAGAATACTAGATTATTGTCAGATGATCTCAAGGCTCTGGAATCGGGCCTCTTGCCAGGCAAGTCATCTGCATCACCCAAAAACCTTTACCAAGGCAAAAAAAAATGTTCGAAATCGAGCGGCATAAGAGAACGTCCGATTAAACTAGACAATGCGAAGGCCCAAGAGAATAACTACTTGAACGTGGTGGATAACGATGCGGATGGCATTGATAAGGATGAGTCCAAATCAAAGAGTATTCCGAACTTAAGCGACAGTTCCAGCGTGCAAAAGGCGAAGTTACAAGCCGAAGCTGAAACCAAAAAAGGATTAAGCTTATTGCAGCAACAACCGGACCTGAACGAGGCTCCTTTCAGCTATGTTCAACTGCCATTTGTGTTGCCTTCGACTCGCATTATTGTGCCTCCGCTGCTGCAGTTGCTTACCCGCCGCTCGGTTTTGCCCTGGTCAATCAGGGGACCCAATTTGATTCAAAGCCGTCGCTATCTGCACGCCCTAAACGATCTGCGCCTGGCCCGGGCGGTACAGGCAGCCACCGTGGCTCGTTTCCGGCAACAGCAAAATAATGTTGAGCTACAGCAACACGTTGAGGAATTCAAGGAGAATCTCAGACGTCTAGTCTCAAATCGAGCTGCCATAGAACGGCGTGTATCGGACTTACTCTCGGGCATAACTCGTGACGTAGTCGCAGCTTGAAATTGTGTTTCAGTTTCGAATATAACATAATATAGTGAAATAAATTGGAGAATTCATGTTCGATTTACTAGTTTCACATAAATCCTAACGTGCGATTGTCTTTAAGCGCGTTAGAATCTTTGCAAGGCACTTAATCCGCCTTGAAATTTGTTATATTGATATTTTGATATTAACATGGAAATCAATAAATTCTTAACATTAAACTTGAACTTTTCTCAGCAATTAATCATGTCGCGTGAGGTTAATTGCAATCGATATGGTAAAGCACACTACAATTTATCCTTATGGTATATGCCATAAACTTTGCCAAAAACATGAGAGATAGCCCTCAGACTATAAGATTCCCAGTCGGGTTTACTCGGCCTTGCCATTACTACTAGTTTAGTAAAATCTATTAATTGGTATGCTGAAGTCGACTGAACCGAACCGGTTTAAGCCCCAAATACCAAGCTTTTATTTACCATGAAGCTAGTCTTAATCCAAATGAGTTGGTTAAATTTCTAACTCATAGATGTGGCAAGCCTGGCTAAAGACCAAACCATAAGTTAGGCAGCTATTTGGAGCCTTGAACCAAAGCAACCTTAATTTTTGTTAGATTTGCCGCCTTGATAGCAACTAGGCATCTCATTAGAATTTCAAAGAATTTGAGACGACTTTTTCGCATAATATTTCACTTAACCTGAAATGCCACCTACTGCTATTTAATTTGTAATCCACAGTAGGCTTCATGTTCCAGGCAACTGTTAGGACAGTTGCTTCACTTGGATTCAGTTCAGCCTTGAGAGCTACACAAAATAACATCGGCATCATGAATAATAAGAATGTTTTCCTGGCATTTTTGTTCATTGCGCTATTTGGTAGAAGTTTGGCCAAGAGCTATGCCTTGGATACGGAGGCCAAGCATGCTTTCGACACTTCGGCAGTGGAAAAACGCGGCTACTACAATTACGATGAGGATGAAAGCCAGCACACCGTGGAGAGGCAGAGCCAGTCGGATTATCTTGACCAAGACAAGGAAATAAGAAACGATAAAGAGAAGAGAACCGGCTGGCTGGACTTTGCCGCTGCCGATGCTCTATTGGCTGCCAATGATATGCAGCGACAACGCAAACATCAAAAACCAATGGCACACATAACCGCCCTCAAGCTGGACAAGGATGAACAGGACGAAGAGGTTGGCGATGGTGATGCCTACGCGGATGCTGATGCCGATGCTGCTGCTGGCAAAGCCGATGCCGACGCCGACGGCGATGCCAATGATTATCCACAGGTTGAGCACTCGCACAGTCCACTGCACCAAAAGCTGAAGATGCGCGGATTTGTTAAGCTTACGAACCGGCAACGGCGTAAGCAGCGGCAGCACCAAAACAACAAGGACGAGCTAAAGGACCAAGACTTTGGCATGGAACAGAGCGGCGAGGATGATGATCAGCCGCAGTAGAGCATTGAAAATTTCACTCCATTTCATTTGAAATTCATAAAACTTAGTTCTCTTCACATCGATTCTTATATTTTATGTTAAAGCACGAAACTCAATAAATATTTTACAACGCTGCTGGTCAATACAAAGCTTGCCATTCGTAAATTTTTGATATATTCTTATCGGTGGTAAACCTTGTCAAAGCTAAGCAACTAACTGCCTAATCCCTTCGTATATCTGTTTTTTTTTTAAATGTGCTAGCATTCTGGCTTGTCCTTGCTGTTTCTATAATATGAAATATTATACTATTCTAGAAACTACATATAAAAATGGGTGACTCTTACAACTAAAGAGATTGCTCAAGAAACAGGATTTCGATTTCGATTTTTATCGATTGGTTGAAAACGGAGCATTTTATCGATTAGCCGAAATAAACTCACGCGGGCACTAGCAGGACGTACGTTCAACATTTCAAGTCGCTAGTTTCTAAGATCGTTCATACACAAAATCTATTTCGGTTTTATTGGCCGCAAATCCTTAACCAAATATTGGTTTCATCATTCAAATAATTGAATTCCGTTGAATTGATGATAACTGTCTGTCTTCCATTCGCGGTTTCATAATAACATAAAAAACCTTTGATATTATTAAATATATACTTATATCTGGAAGAATCATTCTCTTGTTTGTAGTGCTCTCCCACTTATTTCCCTATTATCATAATATACAACTTTTTAATATTAACATTGATATGGCCGCGTGCTGGATTCTTCCGATTCGACACGAACACGATCCGAAAACACGAAGCGAGCAAATCCCTTACACGCACACGCACATGTTAAGTACTACGAACACATGTCGTCAGAAAATGCAACACGCGCTCTGGCTCAAACTTTTCAACACACACACATCTTATATTGAAATACTGTGCACGCAAATAGTCCATGGGTCCATGGGCAAATGCATTTACTAGAGGAATCTTTCAATCTCCTGAACTGTCGGTTAGTCAATCAGCTGGACGCATTTATTCCGACAGTCGCGACAAATTGGCAAACGTGAATGTTGTCAGGCGTTGCTGACAAATGGTTGCGGCGACTGCAGGAAGACTATTCTATTTCAATTGCCAACTCGTGAGTGCATTTCAGCGTATTTGTTTGTGTGTGTGTGTGTGTGTGTGTGTGTGTGTGTGTGTGTGTGTGTGTGTGTGTGTGTGTGTGTGTGTGTGTGTGTGTGTGTGTGTGTGTGTGTGTGTGTGTGCGTGTGAGTGTGTGCAAGAGAACAATGGAAAAGGATTGAAGGCGGCGGCGACTGCGAATTTTGAAGCCTTCCCATTGTCACAAATGCGCATGTGTGTGGGTGCGAGTATGTGGTTAGCTGTGTGGTTGTGCGTGTGTGTGTGCTTGTGTGTGTGTGTGGGCGGCCATGTTTGCCAGCATGCCGCTTGAGCTCTTTGGAAATCGCTCAAAGCCATTTTCAAATTGTTTTCGCAATCACAACAAAATCGATTTGTAAATATTCGCTATTAACTTAAGCTCGACATCACACCCATACACATGCACACACACAATGGCCACGCCCACTTAACACAAGCAGACACACATATGACATACAAGAGTGTACTTATCGCTCTTTTGTCTACTCTGAGATCCTTAGCCAGCCTTGCCCCGCCCAGTTTTGTCATGCCCTGCACTTTATGAGCTCTGCTCGCATCTTGGGCGAGGCGATTACAAACGAATTTCATGGCCTACTTCAAGGCGAGAGAACATGTCGACATTTTGTCTGGCTTACGCTTGGGATATTGGGATTTATATATAAATACATATATATATATATATATATATATATATATATATATATATATATATATATATATATATATATATATATATATATATATATATATATATATACGCGCAATTTGAAAATCGATTTGTAAACGCAAATGTTTCTCTTACAGCCTCGCTAAGCCATCGTCGCCCTTTTGCCCCCGCCCAGCTCCCAATTCGATTTTCAGTTCCAGCTCAGGCACTTATTGTTTTTATGTCGCAGGATTTCCGTTTAGCCGCGACAATTGTTTACTGTTGTCCTTTTGCTTGGCACGCATTCTCGGCGAAATTCTAAGCATGACTAAACACAAGTCCCAAAATCAGCAATCGTTTCTGCATATTTGTTTCGCACACATGAATGTGCAGACATATTTTAATGATGGCACTGCAAATGTCTGTGAGCTTCCATCATTATGTAGCAAATACACAAAATAAATAAATTGGCTCTCGAGTTTTAAGTAATATAATATTAAAATATCATGTACTCTTCCCTTACTCTCCAACAATATAAAAATATCATGTACCATCCCCTACTCCTTTGGATACATTTTCTTTTCTTTTTTGTTTCTGAAAATTTTGTATATTAGAATTTTACTTATTATTGAACAGCTTTTTTAAAGCTATCATGGTATTTTTTTTCCATGACATTTTTGTAAAAGAAAAACTTTGTATTCCAAATGTTTGTTCAGTTTTAAAGAGTAGAGTTATTATTAATAGAGTTCAAACTATGAGAAAAGTGTCCTCAATCATGAAAACTGCTTCAGTTTTAACAATGTTATTGGAATTTGAGGTTGAGGTGGGCTATTAACTAGCATACCATTTTTTAATGGCCCTTACTTTCCTTAACTAAAAAGAATCCATATTTTGAGCATAAGAGAAGTTTCGGAACAATCCAGTTCAGAAGCTCAGCGAACAGGAAGTCGTATCGTTTTCTTATATTCGACCTGGCTTGTATTACGTTAAGATATATATTATATATATATATATGTATATCTTTCTAACTGGAAGAATCGTTTCTTTATCTTCGGTGCTAGAAAATGTTTTGCGGGTCTATACTAAATAACGTATGTGCCTGTGAATGAAAGCAATCAGCAAATCAAGCTATTAAGCAATATATTTATAAATTTATCAATTATTCAGTCACTCAAGCAATCAATCATTCTGTCAATCAATCAATAAAAAAAGATTCCCAGATTATATCACTCGTATCCCCCAAACAAATATATATTTATTATTATTAGGATAAACAGTTCTGACCTGAATCTGAGAATCCTAAGGAATTTGTACTTGATTGTTTTCAGGGCTGCAAACCGAAAACAGGGCCTTTTGGTTCAGTTCGTAAACCTGATTTTGCGCAATCCTGAAGCCACCTTTTGATTCCTAGCTAAAACATAACTAAAGAATAAAGCTACGAGCAGGCTTTTTGTTATGCAGCAGATGCTTGGTTCATTCTAAAGAAATGCTTGGAAATTGCGGATTTTAAGTCGGTGCGGTTCAACATTATTTGCAGGCATGTTTTACTTTTATATAAATATCAAGTCTGAGCTACACTTCAAAAGACGCCTATATTTGTTTATATAATTATGCGCAGTTTCTTTCATTTATTTTTTTGTTGGCAGTGTAAGTTAAATACGAAAGAAAAGCAGCCATCATGACGGCTTTATTAAAATTGAAAACATGCGGTACGTGCGGCTGTTTGATAATGGAAAATATTTTGCATAGCTCTGCGCAACATGACGTATACTTGATGTTCGGCCGCTGTGCCACTGATGTGCTCTTTAGTTCTGGGTTTGCCAGCTTATGGGGCAGCATAAATATCTTTAAAGCGCGCCACCTGAGTTATGAGTAGAAAATATAATGG